TTTATGTCCTCAAATGGATAAAGTACATTCATCATATATTTATTAGGTACATTTTAAGTACCAGACCTGTGCTGACGGCTGAAGATCTGAAGTGAATCAGATGTGGCTGCCCCGGGCTGGTGGCGGTGACAGTGATTGACAGCATGACCTTGGGCTGGGTCAGGGAAGGTGACATCCGAGCAGGACCCATGGGGGCAGAGGACAGCCAGGAGGGCAGGGCCCCAGCCACACACATTCATGAGGGTCCTTCAGTTTGGATTGTGACAGGACTAAAAGAAAATCACGTTCATCAGGCAACTCTAAATTCACACCCCCTTTCCCGGCAGTCACACGGCCTCTAATGTGGACTTATACTTCTTTGAAAGAAATACTGAAATAACACTCATATCACATTTGGTTGCTTATGTTAAAAGCATTCGTTTGTCAAGTGGACATGTGTAAAACATACCACAATTGTTACACTCTCGCTTAGGTCTTTCCTTACAAACACACTAAGGCCCAGATACAAGAGGCCTTCCACCTGAACCGGGTCTGAAAGGAAGGGTGTTCCCCAATGGGGAACAGCATGGACAAAGGCCCAGAGGCGCTGGTGAGCATGTACCCAGGGGCAACTGCAGACCTTAAGGTGGCTGCATTTTACAGTGTGAGGAGGCTGGGGGAGGGCGGCCGGCTCAGCAGCAGGAGGGTCTGGAGGGCCCTGAAGCCCAGGCAGAGGAGTGGAGAGCCTCTCCAGGGAAGGCTTCTCCGAGGGGAGCCCGTGGTCAGGTCTGGGGTGCCTCCTGCAGCAGGTTCCTTTTCTTCTCTGTAAGAAGCCCATTTCTCCTAGTGATTGGTGAGAGCCATTGGGTGGGAGGTAGGAGGAGGGCATATGCAGGTGGCAGCAAGGTCACTCCTAAAGCTGCAGAAGGAGACAGAGAAATATTCCTGCCCCCAATACAGTCAGATCTAAACTTGAAGAATGTCGGAGTCAAGCCTTGGGACTATAGAGAGAAAGCGCCATTTGCATCACGTCGGATCCAGGCGACACACTGTCTGTACGACCGATCGCTGTTGGTGTCGCCCTTGACCACCCGGCTGAAGTGTGCCTGCCAGGTTTCTCCACTGTAATGGCTGCCACTCCCTTTCTCGAGTGTCCTCTTTGGGAGGAGGTCGCTACGCAGCCCACACTGAAGCAGTGGGGTTATGTTCCATCTCCTTGAAGGTGGCACAATCCCGTAAATCACTTGGACTTCTTCTACATAGAAGATTTGCCTACTCTCTGGTTTTTTTGCGTTATCAACATTTTTTGCTGGGTCTTTGTACTGTTTAGAAGTTCAAGCACCCTATTGGTATTTCGAGGATCCTACAGATATTTTATTTCAATTACTACAATGCATTACCAAGGCATTTAGTTGGAGGGCAGGAAAAAAAAGCCAGTGATTATTTTTATTTTTCCCTATTGTCGAAACACTTTAATGAGAGACTTGAGACTACCAAAAATAGAATCTTTCTAGTCCTACTGCTCAGAGCTGACTATTAGTCACATTCAGTTTATTACTTTTAATTTTTCTCTTGTGCAGTTTTTACACAGATTATGCTGTGTAATTTTGTGTCTTGCCTCTTCCCACCTTTCATTTATCATATAAAAACATTTTCCTATGTTGCACTACAGACTTCATAGCCATATATTTTCAATTGCTGCTAAATATCCCCTCACGTGACTCAGTGTCCCCCTTCTCCACCCGGCTCCCCAACTTAACTCGATGCCTAGCACATTGTTGGTATTTGGAAATAATTTGTTAAATGAATGAATATATGATAAAGTAATCACTCAGCTGTTTTTACAAATGCAGCTTATTTCCGTTTTCTTGATTCGAAATAGATTATTCCCTCAGGATAGCGTCCCATAGTGGAATATTTGGGCCAACCAGGGTGGGGGGTGCAAAACTTTTCAAAATAAATGCACAGAACCAGAAATCTCCCTCCGCCTCCCTCTGAACCACCAGCAAATGTGCCAAGGGTAATAATTTACAATTGATTAAAGAGTTTGTGGGGTGTTTTTCCCCATCATTTTTTCTCCTCTCCTCCCCCCTCCTGCCCAAAAGGGGAGAAATTATCTGAGAAGGTGAAGATGTTCTCAGACAATCATATTAACATATTCCAACAATTGCAATTTGCAAAATAGTAATCACAACTCCCGGGATCTGGGAGGCATTAATCAAAGCGGCAGGTTTAATTCCATTTTAAATATTGATGAAATGTGCTTGGGATGCCTCACCCTGGCGTGGCAGGGCCCGGAGCCTCTGCGGGCCAGGGCGGTGGAGGGAGGGTTGGTGAGCAGCTGCCGGGAGGGGAGGCATCTGCGATTCAAATTGGTGGCTGTGCCGCCAGGTAGAGAGTGAAAGGGGTAGTGAAGAGGGCTGTTAAGTCCATTGCTGTCAATTTGTAACGATCAGGGAGGGGCCGAGGACTGGTTCCGCACAAAGCGCCCGGTTTGTCTGGTTTCAGGGGTTACCACTGAAGAGGTTGCAGCTGCACTGATTCGAATAGCCTGGAGACTTCAGAACTGTAATTACCAACCAGGCTGCTCCGTGTGGTGGCAAAAGTGGGCTTCACCAGCGCTTAACTCCTTGTGTGCCGCCACTCTCCCCCCCACCCCATCCCCACCCCCACCCCGGGGTTGGCAGCCGCTCTCAGATTCCCAGGCAGCCTCCCCAGGGGAAACTGAGGCCCCCTAACTGCTTAGGGTATCCTTCCAAGCATGCGGGGCAGCCAGCCTTTTTCCTTAGGCCACCTGTGAAGAAACAGCGGGGGTGGGGGCACTGTCACTGTCACTTCTGCCTTGGAGCAGGGAGTCAGGCTTTGGAGGCTGATGAGCCTTGGTTTGAATTCCAGTGGATGCAGACCTGGGACAAGGCTCATCCCCTCTGTAAAATGGGGGGCATCTCCCCTACCCTATTCGGCCGACACAGAATCAGTGAGATCTGGTATTTGTAAAGCACAAAGCACACAGAAGGCTGTCAGTATGCCGCCTTCTCCCTAATCTTGGACATGGCGCTTCCACAGCAGAGGACAGTGGGCAGGGGGATCTGATTCTGAGGGCAGGAATTTTGTGTCTTGCTCTCAGGGAGTCCCCTGGTTCTCCAGCTACCGCCATTTGTCACTCAAGGAGGATAGCTGGTCCTCTCCTCCCTCTCTTAGGCAAGATCTGTAGCCCTGAGAACTGCTTGAGGGCAGGGGTTTGGGCTGCTTCTCTCTGTCCCCAGGGCCAGGCACAGGGGGAAGCAGGGATGAGGGGGGGACAGCAGGCAGACAGCTTGGTGGTACTAGGGTTTAGTTGGGAACTTGGAGAAGGAAGCACATGTAAGATTCGATGACCCTTCTCATGGAGTGTAGCCCAGAGAAGTTCTCCCACATGTCCATGAAGGGGTGTGCCCAAGAACGCTTGTCCCCACATTATTCCTGGTAACAGAAGCCAGGGGCAACTTGCATGTCCAACACTGGGAGGAGGATAACAACACATGATGGAAGCCCACTGTGGAATATTAGGCAGCACATTTTTAAAAAAGCCATGCAATGGAAGAATTAAGAAAGATCACCAAGAGCAACGATGTCATTAGAGACCAAGGCTAAGATCATCCACCCACTCACATTCCCAATTACTATGTACAGAAGCAAAAGACGGACAGTGAAGAAGACTGACAGGAAAAAAAAAAAAAGTTTTTTTGAAATAAAGCGTTGTAGGGGAGCACTAGTGAGCAGTGGGTCCTGGGGCAAATGAAGCCTAAAGCATCGCTAGAGGCAGAAATGACAAACCTGAAGCTGTCCTGCCAGACACATCATGAGAAGGCAGGGCTCTTTGGAAAAGACAATCCTACTGGGAAAAGCAGAAGACAGCAGGAAAAGAGGAAGACCAGTACGAGATGGACTGGCTCCGTGAAAGAAGCCATAGGCGTGAATCTACAGGAGCCGAGCAGGGCTGCTGGGACAGGGCACTGTGGCCCTCACTCATTCACAGGGTCACCAGGATCAGAGCCGATGCAGCAGCATAAGCACAAGAAGCAACAAGCTAGATGTATGTGTAGCTACAAGAACAGATCTTGAAAATGTACCTCTGAGTGAAAAAATGAAGACAATGAAACGCACAGCACAATGCCATTTGTGTAAATTAAAACCACATACGCACACAAAACAAATGTATTGTACAGAGCTGCATGCATGTTTAGGGGTACATATCCCACCATTCGAGTCTCTGTCACAGATGGGGAGGGGCTGGGTCTGGTTGGGAGTGAGGGGATAAGGGGAAAAATAAAAATCAAGTCAGTCTGCAGAGGGGCCTGGAATAGAGAGATGACGGTGGTGGGCTGTGAGCTGAAGAACGGGTTATGCCCAGCGCGCTCTCAGGTTTAGAGAACAGGTCAGGCCTTGTAGTCAAACAGCTCGAGGTTGGAGTTCGGGCTTTCCGTACACTGACACTGGCTGTGAACAAGTGGCTTGACTTTTCTGAGCCAGTTTGTCCATGTGCAGAACAGTGGGGTAGTTGCGGTCATCTGGTCACAGGATTAAGTTAAGAGATAAACACATGTCGGGCCTTCATGAACATCAGATGCTCTCCATTGCCCACTGGAAGGTTCTGAGTAAACAGGGTGTCAGCCCCCTGGGAACCACAGGTACTTGGAAGGCTCTGGCTCCTTGTACTGCCAGCAGGGCCTGGACAATCCTGGGGGTGCTGTTTATGGATGTCAGACTGGGCAGATGCCGGAGTGAGCTGCCCTGTGAGTACCTGTTAGGCTGCCCAGCTTAGAGTGGCCAGACAGTGTCATTCCTACCTCCATCAGCAGCATCCACCAGCTATAAACCCTTTTGTGTTCACTTCCCCCAAGACCAGGCACTCATGGGCATCTGAAGGATCCACTGATAGTGAAAGGTCTGTTCCTTCCCAAGGCCACCCCGGGGTGCTGAAATTCACCCACACCCACCGTGAGCCCCCGTGATGACCTGTTCTTCCTCTTCCCTTGCAGATGATGATGAGCATGAGTGGATTATCCGGACGTGTCGGAAGGGCTGGGACGAGTTTGTGGGTCACAGGCCCACGCTGTGAGCTCTGCTGTGAGGTGGCTACCTCAGCCAGAGGCTTCCCTCTGCTCTACTGGCATCGGCTGGCCCTGGTGGCAGGCTGTAGTTAAGAACCTGAACTTGACTCAGGAATAAAGGCTTTCTGCAGTTAGTGGCTCCAGTGTACTTAAACTTTTTCTTGGAACAGGATCCTCATTTCACCTGCATCAGAATCACCTGGTCAAATCTGTGGACTACATATTCCTGCCAATCCGAATCTCTGGGATTGGGGTCTAACCATTTGCACTTCCTCGTATTCCCTATGGACGTGGAGGTTTGAGAACCATCGCCTTACAATAATAGATATATGTAATTGACAGAGCAACATACTAATGTGTGCAGGTAGTATGTGTGTGTATTATCTCTGCTCCTCACTACAGCCTTCAAGAGAGGGAATCTGAGGGTCAGAGAGACTGAGTGACTTACCCCAGGTCACTAGCATTTGAATCCAAGTCCTTCTGAAGACAAGGATTCTTTTTATTATACTGAGTTGCCTGACTTACCAGTCTTGGTCTCACAGGGCAATAGAATGGGATGGCTGTGCCCAGACTCCCAGCTGGTACCTTTGGGTAGGCCCAGGAATGATTACCCGAGGGCTGTCTCTCCCTCTGGCAGCTGCTCCATTTGAGCACAGAATCAGCGTGGTGCTATAGAACAAATGCAGCTTCAGCATCATGCACACCTATATGTAAATCCCAGCTCAACCACAGGTATCATGTAACTTTGGGCAAGTCACTTCACTTCTCTGAGCCTTTTCGTCATCTGTGAAAAGGGTATAATGATGCTGAAAACATTAGGTGGCTGTGTGGATTGAATGAGATAATCCAAGGAGCTGGCACTTAGCAGGTATTCAGTGAGTGCTTGCTTTAAAGAATAATGTGTTAGCTGTGCACTGAGTAATTATTCCTCAAAATCACCCCCGAGATCGCATGCCAGCTGACAGCCAGAAGAGGAAGCAGTGACATGTTCTAGGGCCACAAGCATCCTGGATCCTTGTACAGCTGTCCCTCCTTAGAGGCTGCTGGATCTTGCAGGTTCCTGTGCCTTGTCCCTTGACTCATCAGGAGCTGCCCAAGAGGGAGTCAGGGAGGACTCGGTGGAGCCAGGAAACTGGCCCTCAAACTAGGGAGCTAGAGTTGGCATGCTGGGGCAGAGTCAGGAGTCAGAGGGCAGCTTGGGCCCATTCAGCTACATCACGGAGGGATCTTGGGTGGGGGTGGGGGTCACCTCTCTCCTCTGGTGCAACACCACCTCAGTAGAATGATAGGGTGGAGCTCCACTAGGGAGTTCCAAACTGGGTTTTGAAGACAGAAATTACACCCATTCATGCAAACACACACACAAAACTAAACTATTTTCAAAGACACATATATATCTAAATCTACATCTGACAAATAGATGGGTGGAGGGGAAAGAGGCAGAGATGGAGTCAGGGATGGGAGGTGCAACAATAAAATAAAAAGGGGGCGCTGCAGGGGCGATGGCCTTGTACACCCTGAGCTGAGGTTTACAGACGACTGCGCAGGGCCATGGCGCCTGGCATGTGGGAGGGAAATGCTGGGGAAGCCTCCGCACCAGACAGGCCACGCCTCTCCTCTCCTGCAGAGCTTTGGCTTGAATAAACTGTTCTGATGATGATGATGATGATGATGGTGGTGGCAGCCAGCAGAAAGGTACTCTTTCACTCCCCAGATTACATATTACGTGGTGGTTCTGGAACCCAGGGAGGCCAGCATGAGACCCGGACTTGTGCCCAAGTTCAAGCCTAGCTCCCTTCATATCAACATATCAAATTCTCCCCCATCTTCCAAACAGGCTCCTCTGTGCCACCCTCCCTAACCCTGCCCCTCTGGCCCCCAACACCTCTTTTGCAGTTATTCTGTGAACTCCTCATCCAATTAGATCCCTTTGGCTCTCACACCACGTTGGTGGGATCTGTCTGTTCTCAGCATTTGCCAGATCAAGAGATCCTCCAGGGCACCGTCGGCTCAGCTTGGCTCTTCTCAGAGTCCCACAGAGCGAGCCAGCCCAGGAGTGGAACAGAGGACAGCAGCCAGCTTTCCTACAAAGCTTACTTCGAGAAGAAGCACACGGTCACGCCTTTATGACAATCAGTTTACTAACTGGGGAAACAGCACCCATTTTCCAGGAAGGGGACTGCACTGAACCTTGAAGAGAGCAGGAAAGAAATGGAATCCCATCGCGTTCTGGATTTCAGTGCCAGCACTTCTACTTGCATTAACTTTATTTATTACACAAATAAGACATTTACAAAGCACAACATGAAAGGTATGTAACAAAACAAACATTGGTTTTACAAAAAAGTGCTTACAATATTTTTTCCATGTATGTGTGTGTATGTTTTCCCCCTTCTGTATTTAAATAAATAGTCTCGATGGCCTGTACATTCCCAGGCTGCTCTAACAGGCTAGTGGAGACATGTCTGAACTGCAACATGCTACGACCACATGATCCACGCAAGGAACAGACCCCGGGGGAGGCCCAGGCAGAGTGGGTACTGAGTGACCCTAGGTCAGGTGCCACTGGCCATCAACCACATGGTTGCTTTTGAAGCCTCAGGAGCAAAAATCCAAGTTCCCGAAGACCAGGGATCAGGCCCACTCCGCTCCTGTTACCGTCAGCCCCCAGGACAGGGCCAGGAGACGTTCACCGGATGAGTTCTGAGCTCAGCTGTGCTAACCGTGTTCCGAACGGCGCCTTCTCTTTGCCCTGAGCCATCCGGAACGATCTTCAGAAGGGAAAGGAAGCAGGTCCCCTTCTCAGGCTGCACCCAGGCCTTGCCTTCCTCCAGATCCCAGAGAAAGGATGACATATTGTGTAGGCATTCATGGTTAAGTGCCAACTTCAAACATCTGAATTCTGAAACCATCTCCAGACTCAGTAACACAGGATACTGTAACTGACTAGCACAGTCTGCCCTGGGAAAGAGCAGGGACAGTCGGTGCATAGGTGCCAGGGGCTTGCTTTCCCCATCCTAGAGTCTCCTTCCAAAGGCAACATATTGATAGTACCAGGTTCACCAGGGCGGGAAGGAGGACTTGGACTAAGCCAGGCTTGCTGGCAGCCTCTAGTGGGAAACGCATCAGGACACCAAGTACTTGTAAAATCACAGGGTAAACTTGGGACAAATGGGTGTCCCTCTGAAAACGTAAGTTATGGTCTTGTGTAGCCCAAGCCCTTTTGTTTGGGGTTGAAGAGTTGCAGCAGGACAGGGTGGGTAGGAGCACAGCTGTGTCTGGCCTCTGTTCTCGGCAGTGGGTGGGGAAGCCCAGAGGGCCAACTGGAGTCTTGGGCTTGGCACGCTCACCTAGGGCACCCTCTCTCTATTCAGATATAGGTCCAGAGTTAACATTCAGACTGCCATTTCCCTGGACTCTGTTCCCCAGCCCTCCATGAGAGGTCCCCCCAAAAAAGACGTGACCCCAGCACTCCTACTAGGATTCCATGAGTGGCCAAAAAGGGCCCCCAATTCTAACCTGCCCAAACATTTGGAAATGTCATCCATAGTTCATACACCATCTCAGTGATGTCATCTGTATACATATGTGCTGGATAAATAGGTAGGAAGAGGGTCTCCCACTTATACCCCGAGTTTTCTCTCTCGTCTCCCAGCCGCATGTGCCACATCCTTCTCCTCAAGCTCCAAACCAATGCGTGTCTTTGTGCCTCCCGGCCCCTGCCTGTCCCCACCCCCTGGTCTGGGCAGGCCTCCATGTCTGCCCTTCTGGGCCTCTCAGGGTTGGTCAGTGTTCTCTTTTCTCTCTTTAACTTGACATAACCAGACAGATGGAAATGATAAAACCAGAACGTAAGCTTTCCTTTGGGGACATCCCACAGACACTGTAGAGTTTTTCAGACAAAAGCAACAGAGTGGACGACACTGGGGGTTTTCGGCTTTCAGAATTCAGAGATGGTTCCAAGGAAGCAGTGAGTAAAGGCCAACATGGGAGGAGAGAAAACCTGTAAATTAGAAGGCTGTTGGCGTTGCACAACTCAATCCGGCCTTTTGCTATGGTAATCAGCTTCGTTGAAGATGAGTCCTGTCTACATGGGAAAACTGGGCTGTTGTTGTCACCCTGATTCCAAATTTCAGGGAGCTCTGCCTTCCAAGAGGAGGACTCCACGGTGCTCCGGGCAGGTTCTGGTTCTCAGCAGGAGAGGGGAGAGCAGCCAGGCCCACGGGCCCAGCTGGTGGCAGGCGGGGTGGCAGATGAGGGGTGGATGCAGAGGTGGGTGGATTCCTGGCAGCGCTCAGCGGCTGAGGGACAGCTGTGGGGTGCCCGTGGACAGATGCGCAAGTGCAGGGAGCGTCAGTACTGAAAAAGGATGACCTGCGGAAGGAGGGTGTGGGAGGTGGCTGAGCTGGGGGCCTGCCCCTCCAGTAGCTCCTTGAAGGCATAGAGAATGCGGATGGCCCAGGGCCCAGATCTGGGTTCAAATCCTGGCTCTGGTACTTACTTGCTGTGGACCTTGGGCAACTCACTTCACCTCTCTGAGCCTGTTTCCTCCTCTGTAAAATGGGGATGACAAAACCTTTCTCTCTCTCTCTCTCAGGATGGAGAGGATTCGGTGAAAAACGAGAACAGCAGCAAAGGTCTGCTGGGCACTGCATCCGGCACCCGGCACTGCGGAAAGTGCCTGACCTGCATTTGTGGAGCCTCATCACAACCCCTCGAGGGAGTCCCGCCGGTATCTCCATTTTAGAGGGAGGGCACTGGTGCTCAGAGAGGTGAAAGTCAGTGAGCCGCGGATAGGTCCCACAGCTAGGAGGCGGCGGACCCAGCACTGTGGCCCAGGCCTGGCTCCAGAGTGGGCTCTCTCCATTGTGTCACACCGCCTCTACCTCTCCACGATCACCACAGCAGCTGTCATCATGCTTATGACACACCACACAACGGGCCAAGCACTGCATGCGCACTTAGTCTTCACAAAGCCGAGAGAGAGGCAGGTGGCTGAGACAGGCCAGGTACCTGACACACGGCAAATGATCAGGGACTGTCTGCCCCTGTCCCTCTCCTCTTCCACCCAAAGCACCTGGCGACTTCTCATGCTGCTGACACAGCCAGCTCCCTGAAGGTCAGGAT